ACACAAATAAAATGTTTCTACATAAAAATGCTGACCTGCTGGTACATAGGCTGCTGCCCAGGCATGTAGGGCTGTTGGGGAGGCATGTTGGGGTCTTGTCCTGGAAGAACGGTCATCATATTCTGCAAAAGAAGTTTAACAGCAATCAGTGCCAGTCTCCAAACTTTCCTTTCCATATGGTTTTTGTAAGCAGGAAAGAACATCAGACCTGAGACATACAGGTTGTAATGCAAGACACAACCTGCGATCTGATACAGTAAAACGTAAATATTTTAAATACAGTAAACGTACCTGCATGCTGTATGGCTGGTAGCCCATGTAGGCAATTCCGTTGGTGGGGGCAACCTGGGACATCGGGGGCAAACTCTGAGCTTGAGAGACCACGTTCTACAAAACGAACATGCAAACATTCATGCCAAACTTTCAAATTAACTGTAGAACTCATTAACTAGACTTGCTCTTCCTGAAGGAAATAACTGTGGGAGCCCCATTTTTTGCTACTTTATAAAAAGTGTAAAAGGTAATTGCGACTTTTTAACACACAATTCTGACTTTATAACGCAATTGTGAGTTATAAGTTAGAATTGTGAGATATAGACACGCAATTGTAAGAAAATAGTATTTTCAGAAATAGTATTCTAAGTCCTCAGAATTGGACTTTATAACTCGCAACTGCAAGTTTACCACACTTCTGAGAAGAAAAAAAAAGGCAGAATTAAGATTTAAACATGCAATTGAATTCTGAGAAAAAAAGTCAGAATTCCGAGATGTAATTTGCAACTGTGAGAAAAAAAAAAAAAGAAAGTTAACTGCGTGATAAAAAGTCACAATTGTCGTTTTTTTATTTTTTTTATTTAGTGGCGGAAACAGGCTTCCATAAATAACAGTACTTGTAAAGCAGTAAAATAATATGAACATTTAGGTAAATGTGAAGACGTAAATTGATCTCCTGACCTGGTAGCCCTGTGTCGGTGTGGGCTGATAGTTAGTGTAGGCAGGGGTGGTTGCTTGTCCAGGGCCGGCTGGCTGCCCACTGGTGCCTGCAGTCTGATACATGTAAGCGTTCACCATGTTGGGATCTAAAAGAGAGTGAGCAGACACTCTATTAAATAAAAAAGTGCCACATTTGAAGCTGATGTGGTTTATTCATTAAACTGATTTTTAAAGAGTGATAAAGACAGAGGATGATTGGTTGACCTGTAGCTGACACAGGCATGGCCTGGTACGGACCACCGGCAGCTGTCTGTCCGGGCTGGTTCATGTAGACTCCATGCATGGGCGATCCCTCCACTGAGCCAGCAGGACTGAATGTTCCAGGATAGCTGGGAGGGCCAGCGGGGGGATACACCACCCCTCCTGCCACGTTAGGAGGCAATGACTGCATCTACAAGCACCAAACAGCACATTACAAATAGGGCTGCAACAAATAATTGATAGCAGTTAATATTCCGTCTGCGCTTTGATTTTCCTGTAATATCACTTTTAGTTTAGTGATTTTAACTTTTATTTTTAAGTGGTAATCAATCAGGTTTTTTTGTATAGA